AAAGAAAATAATTACTTAATTCAAGACACGTTATTATGTATTTTGAGAGTTGAGTTTCCATGTAGTTAAATAATTGCTGCGTTTGAGAATCCACATCGGATGCATCTGAGATGTAAAAAATCTTTGATCACGTGATTCAGTATACGTAAATGTAATGGGACAGATGTGTCCGATGTGGATAAAAAAACGCTCGATATGTAAAAAATGCATCCGATGTGGATTCTCAAACGCAGCAAATATCAAGAGATCTAAATAATTTTAGACCACTCTCATTTTAGAAATAACACTATATAAAACACATAATTGCAGTATGTAATACAACTTTGTAAAGGTAATGTAAACAACTTTAATATGAGATATAAACAACTTTTATAAGAGTTGTAATTGGACACTTATCTATTATTCTGAATGTTTAATAGTAATGTTACTAAAAATTTTACAGAAAATCACTGCATTTTTAATATTTTAACATTTGTTGCAATCTCTTTTGACAGTAATTGCAATGTATTAATTATGATTTGTTTAGTGATAAATGAGATATAATTAACAAATTGTATGATATTCAAATTGGATATTCTAATTTCACAGTAACATCCGAGAATACCGATCAAGGAGAAGCGACAGTAGCTGTCGGTGCCTTTGATATCGGATGGACCTTTTTCACATCATGACTTTGATTAATACACAACTTAGCACGCTGAGAAAACATGCTTATGTTCTACACTGAGCGAAATAGTTTGGCAAATTATCTGAAATCATTGTTATAGACCATGCGCAAATGTTGTAATGTGATTTAATTACATTGAAGTAGTTAGGGTTAATAGCAATTAATAATCATGATATTTACTGTTCGTAGTCCTTTGAAAAAGTAAATAAACTTAATTTTTGGCCTGTTTTGGACGAACAAGAACGGTATGCACAAAAATATCCAGATCCAGACATTCTATTACAACATAAAGAAACATCAAAAAATATCACTCAACAGCTCACAGACTAAACACAACTTGGACTGAATTTGACAGATAATATGATTTTGAGTGATACACAACTTATTTTCGCACATGCGCGTATCAAAACGGTACACTGAAAACACCAAGCTGTCGCTTCGCCTTGATCGGTATTCTCGGGTAACATTCTACATTAGTTTTAATAGAATAAACCATTTATTATCTGTAAAATTATATTTATATAAAATGTTCATTTAAATATGTAAAAATCTTGATGACAAAAAACACTAAAGATTCTAATTTCATAACCAATTCTGTAAATGATTTGTTTACAACTAAGTGCTCAAAATTGATACAAGATAGATATGGATAAGCAATCTATGTAATTATGTATATCGTTGGGTGTGAGACACGAAGTGTGCTCTGTGGAAATTTATAAAATTTCTTTACTACCGAATCAAATCCAGGTTTCCAAAGCGATATGTTTGTACATCCATGGATGCAACAAGTTTTTTCGATAATGATATTACGAAAATAATTCGACTTTATTTAATTAATAATTACTAAACAATAAATGCCGTATAAAACATTAATAAATCTCCCCCAAAAAGTGCACATTTTTGTCACCACTTGGCGTTAAAGTCATGACGCACGGTCCCTATAACTGCTCTTTTCGATTTTTTATTTTGCCACCTCGTAATTTTGCCGCCGTCGCAGCCATATTGTAATAAAATGTGAAAAAATAAGTTTTTTCAAGATATCTTGTTACTAGTTGCTTTTACAGCAAAAATGACTCCAGTACTTTCTGACATTTTCATTGCAGGAAAGGCGAATGTTGGGAAAACTAATCCATTAAATTTTTTACGTCATTGTTATCACGATTAATACGGGAACTTCTCAATTCAACATGCTGTTCCGAAGTGCTAAACTCTATATGGCAAAAATTTTCAACCACGTCACAAATATTGTGCAAGAATAACATTCCCATAGAAAGTACGCTCTCCTGGACTCCCCGTCCACTTGTTAGTCCACCTACGGTTTTCATCATTTGCATTAATGATTTCTTAATTACCATGTCTGACCATGTGCCACACCAAAATTTGTCAGAACGTTTTAATTTGCAAGATACTATTAAGATGAAAGTCCCAGTTTCCGCTTGATTCGGCCTCAATACATTGTTTTATAACTGATACCATGCGAAAGAAAGAAACCCATAATTTAGCAGTTGGACCACGATACTAGATGGTCTGCTCCAAGTATTACCGACTTGTCGAAATCGCATCTAATTGCTTGTAGTCCTGCGTGTTGGTCTGGTGATTAATCAATTTCCTGCATGATCAATTTTGCGAGATGGACACATGTGCTCTGCACGGACGAGAGTATGCATGACCTGCGTTGGGATTCTCATATTTCAATACGGCACGTGTTGAGACGACTATCTTCGTGATTCTTATGTAATGTCTCTCTCTATTTGATTCATTACGTGTTGAGTTCGCACATAAGAATCCCTGTTCAGATAACATCTTTTCAAGTGAGTTCGGTGCAAAAATTGTACTTATAAGCTCGGTTAATCCACTACCATTCATAATATATCCTATGGCTTCCATGAACGACATCAATAAATGAAAGCCACCTAATCGTATAACGACATTTTTCAATGATAATACTCTCTCAATTATAATACTCTCCCTAATTCACTCCCTTACGAGTGAATTTTAACCCCAAAAGCTGAGCTTGTGCGGGGAAAGGGACGGCTATTATTATTTGCCGTGGCGCTCCGGGGCGACTTAAAGATGATTGATGGTGCCATTTGACTTACAGGTGAGGAAAATCTCACCCACCATCATTGAGACGGTAATGCATGGCAATTTTATAATCTGCATGTCATATCAACAGAAATTGAATTTCTATTAATACGGCACACATCAAATCCTATACCGAATCATGCAATTTATTTAAAAATCCACATGGTCTGGTGTGGGATTCGAAGCCCGTCTGTCTCTGAACATAAACTTGCCTATAAATGAATATAAGCGCGTGAGACTGCTACACCACCACTTTTCTCAGAGGCTGTTGCTAAAACAGTAAAAATCGTGTCGGAGTTAGTCCGTGGTGCATTATTGAAAGGCAAACAAGCCATAAAAGATTTCTGATATGAATGGTTTACTGTCACTTCTTCCATAAATCCATTCCATTCAGGTATATTGGCAAATCAGCCTAGCAGATCTGAAGTTGCCGACATTATTGTATTTGCGACTGAAGAAATAGTAATAGGAATTCCCTGTAGACTGGAAAAGTGTATCTTCTCATGGCTTCGTAGTGCAATGCTACCAGAATTTTCGACGTACTGAGCTGACCGCATTTTTGTGAGACGAGGAATATTTTGATCAGAATAAGCAATGACACTTGCGGGCGTTATACAATGGATGCCTCCCATGGCATGAAAAGTGTTTCTGCCATCCAGGGTTTGAGTATTAAAGTCGAAAACGAACTGTGAAAAGGCACTCCTGTCAATACCCAAAGGAGGGCGCATCAAAGCCAAAATTTCGAAAAGTGTTGCTTCCGTGTATGAGGAACAAACTCCTAGGGAAGCCAAGGTGTCAATCAGCTTACGATGAGTGCGTATCCAACTTTTAGATTCGAGCTGAAGGCTCAATGAATAAAATTCGTATTGCTTTGCACGCTGCGTACTTGCTCAACTTTGTAATTCTCGTACACGAAAACGGTTGATTTTATGAAAAAAATGATAATGACCATTTGGTAGAGAAAATTATGTAGTTTAATTTATTACATAACCATTTTTACTGCAGAAAGCAACGAGATATCTTGAAAAATCTCTTTTTTACAATTTATTGCAATATGGCGGCGACAGCGGCAAAGATACGAGGTGGCAAAATAAAAATTAGGAAAAAGCAGCTCAAAGTACGTAGAAACACAAAATATCAAAACTTCCGCAAATTTTTCCAGGTAAATTTATGTAGTTACTGGACTATTATTATGTTATTAGTACTGTATTAATCTTTTTAGGTATAAAGCAATTTCTAAGCGTAAAAATTAAAATAAATGAGAAACATAATGAATAAGACAAGAAAAAAAGACAATTTTTGATGATGTAATTTTGGTTCCGCTGACAATTAAAGTGACAAAAGACTTTTATGAGTGCGTTTTGTTCATTTCATTTATCTAATAGGATATATTTGTTTTAACTTGCGTCACGCTAATGTGGCGTATTTTGTAAACAATTAGTCAAAATTAGAAAAAATATTGTATGTGACATGTTACGAAATGTCTTATGTTATGTAACGAGTGAATATGTGCGGGACGAGCAAAGCGAGGTCTCGCAACATGAACTATAGTTTCATAAACTATTTTCAAAATTATGCCGGTATTATTTTTAAATTTTAAATCATCTAGTTTGCCTTTGTATACAATGCTTAATTATATAGTATGTTAAACAATTACTTTATATAGTTGTATAAAACACATTGCTCTTTTTTTTGGCCTCTGTGTGGTTTTTGGGACTTGGATATACTTATCAGTTTTTTTTTAATGTTTTTCTCCGTCAAATAGTCCAGTCCTTTTTATTTTTCTATGGTCCAGTCTATGTAGTTAAACAGGTAAAAAATTATTAACGGTTAAAAAGTGTACATGTGTTTAATTTCATTCAGATTTAACTGAGATTGGGGCATGCTGATCTAGGGCATTTTAAAGGTATCCTTGTTTATTATTAACAGTAATTCTACAGTGTCACAATCATATCAGTGACCATTAATTTGAATATCCTTGGATCATATAAAATCCTGTTACATTGACTTAGTTCTCCAATCTCCTAAAATAGCGTAAAAGCTGGAATATTCAGGTAATTTATTGATCTACTCCACATCTACTCTCCATCTATGATTTGTATAGGAACTTTATTAATTTATCTATGATAGGAACCAGGAACAATTTTAAAATGGACCGCCATCTATTGAAATTATTTTGAAAGGTTAAAAAGTGACTGTAAAATTTCGCAACTGTTCATTTTGTCTTCGGTAGATGTCGCTATATGTTCTTTAAGATTAAAAATCTGTTTTATCTACATGAATAAATGAAAAGTGAAACTTATTTTTCAGGGTGGGGTTTTGTATTTTCTAGTTTTTCAATACCGTTTCTGATATTTTTCTCATTATTGTATATAGCCCGTTTTACCTTCGTCGTTTAAATTAATAATAAATTCAATTCGTGATAGTTCAAAAACAATTATAACAAGTTATCGACTGAGACTGTGTGTAATGTGAGGTTAACGTTGTATAAGATTTGTGACATATCGTGGATGTTTTATATAAAAATTTACAATAAATTTATTAATAGGATTGTCAAGTTGTGAGGAGATTTATAATATTCCTGCTTGGGAGTCATTGCCGAAGATACGATGAAGAAATTGATTTGAGAAAAGTGGCTGGTGATTTTAGGAAATCGAAATTTGGCAGCCATTTTATTTTCTCTGCAAGTTACGTGTAAGTTTATAAGTTTTTTATAAAATCATTGTTAATTCTATTTTAAAAAGAGACATATGAATAATGTTTGCAGTGATTTAAATTTGGATAATTTGATATTGATTTTCTTAGTTACGGAGGTGTGTGCAATGTAATAAATTAACAACAAATATTTGTATTCCACTCAGTGTTTTGCAACAAAAACCTTGGTTTTGTTTTATAAGTAGATATCGTTTTGTTTTAAGATAAAAAAAAACTTTAAAATTAACATTGGCATGGGATTTGCTTCAAAAATATTTTTATTAAATTTGTTTAAAACAATCTTTTGTTGTATCTAATGCTAAAAAAGAAAAAATATTTCTCACATCAAGTTACATGTAGGTGTTTCGCTTATATTTAATTACTTTACAATTGAATTTTATAACTCTGATTAAAGGGATTAAAAATGTATTGATGTATGTGTAAAAATGTCAAGTATGAGTATTTTGCCCTTACAAGTAAAAAATTATCAATAGAATTTACAATTTTTAGTTTGTACAGAAAATATAAGGCTATAAAACAGCAACCTGTAATGTAAAAAGATTATTTTATTTCTCAAAGTTGATTTCCTCATTTTTAAATAATTTATTAGGGTAATTAATTGGTTCATGCAGATTCTAATAATTTTAGCAATGTAAGAAACAGTCTGGAGCCCCAGTTTTTCAAACTGGTTAACCAGAATTTTCTTTAGCCTTACCTGATTGCTAACATCAGTAATAACCCAGTATATATACCAATCAGTATTGGCACTCTGAGGCCGCACGTTTGATCTTTAAAAGTAGAAATTTTAGTTGACACTTGACGTTTTCGGGATATGAAAAGTTTTCTTTACACGGACTTGGTATACCTGGTTAGTTAAATTTTTGTTCTGCTGCTTTTCAAATTCGTGTGTATGAGGGAGATGTGAGATACCTTTATAGACAAGGGTTGAACAACTTAAGGTATTTTTTAGCGAGTGTATGGTTTAAAATATTTTCGACTGTTTTAAACCGTTTAAATTTTAGTGATGCAACTATGACGTCGCGTACGAAATATTTTAAACCAAAGCTAGAATTTTTGAACCAGTCGGAGGCATATGGTTCAATAACGGTTGACACATAAGAGATTCTGATTGTGGCTGTTGTATGTTGTTTTTCTCTGTTCCATCTTTGAACATTTTGATATATTTGACGTTTTGTTGATTTTTATTGATTTTTGATAACTTCATACATATATTATGTGATTCATATTCATACATTAATTGGTTATAATGTTTTAATACAAATATTAATATTTATGGTCATCATAAACAGTTGGACAATGTGATCTACCTATGGGTTACTCCTAATTATGAAACAATAATTCAATTAAAGTAAGGTTAAAGGATTACTTATCAATTGTACGTCTTTTACAAAAATAATTACGTAGTTTGCTTCATATTCTGAATTTGCCAGCAAATATTTAAAAGCAATTAAACGTTCTTTGGCAGTTGATGAACTTTGGAAAAGCCCAACAAATCTACAGCAAATAATCGTTAGACAATCGCGTATCTGTGGAACTACGGAATAAATATGATACCATATGTTTATTGACAAGAAAAATACCAAAAATAAAATAATAACGTTTCAGATTCCAATGTACCTACCTATTAAAAATACTTCAATTTTTACTTAAAATCGCTATCAAACACTTATCTTCCTTCATCTGATTTAACAATCATTAAAAAAAAATCAGAAAAATTTTGCCATATGACAGCAGATTATATTTTTAAAACACCCTATTTTTGCCATCTATTAATTCATGACGTCACTTTAAATATGGTTTAAAAAATATTTTAAACCAATGTGGTGGCTAAAAAACAGCTTTAATTACTTTGAAGAAGAAAATAGATTAGATATCAGGGCAGTCTTCGCAAATGTAAGAAGGACAGAACCATTTTAAATTTTTTTATATATGTGAAATATTACTTTTTGGTGAAAAGTTTAATTACTTTTAATTCAAAATATAACGTTAGTTTGTCAAGGGAAATATATAACACACAAGGTTAGAGTAACAAAATAGAGGTATTGCTTTATTTCTTAAGAATTACTCTAATCTAAAACTTTTCTAGTATATTGTAAAGATTTATTCTATGCGTTATTTAGGTACTGCAAAATCTATAGGAAAGTATGTAGTTTTAAATTTAAAAATTTGTGACGGAGACATATTTAGTGTAGTTTTTTTACAAATATATACTCAGTGACTTATTTTTGTGAATGAGTTCAAGTATGGCAGACTAAAATCGTTATTTTTTATTATGAATTAATTTGAATTTATTTTAAAATGGGAACTATATGTATATGGTTTTCGTAGTTTTTACACTTGTGATAAAAATATCAAAGTTATGTATATTGGCCATTTACTACACACAGCAAATTCATAGACACAATACATAATACTATTTGACATTCTTGTAAAACAACTAATTTAAAATTGACTTTAAACTAAGTGACTACACACAGAGTTGTTTGAAAGCAGCCATAAGGTATAATTTATTTATTGGATACTATAAAAAAATTAAAAGTAGTTACATGTAGAGTTAAGTAACAAGAAATTTAAGACCAAAAACAAAACAAACCTTTTATATCTAATGAACTTAATTTAGTACAGTCCTCAACTTTCTTAGGCTAACATTAAAGATATCTATTTGGATATCGCTAAGAAACTCATTGGTAACAGCCATCATCTTGTTAAAAGGAGATATACTACTTGGATCTAAATCAAATAATTTTTTGTTACTTGGGTTTCTTAGATTAATCTTTGCCGCATTAACATTTATATAGTCAATCAATTCACAATCTATGTACTTAAAATAGAGTACAGAATAGATCACAGCCTGTTGCTTTCTTCTTTGTAAAAGAGATTTAATCTTAAAACTATTGAGCATAGTTTTATACGAGATCTTAGGTATAAGGGTACAAGTATTTTATATGACATAAAGGTACCATAAAAATATTTTTTGTACTTTTTCAATATGATCAATTTGTGTGGCTTCCAAAAGGGCATCCATATTTGTAAAACATACTCAAGATGGAGTCTTACTAAGGCACTATATATAATCTGATTTTGGTGGTAATCCTAAATTTTTTTGTATTTCTGATTTAAAAACCTAATGCTTTTATTGCTTTTTTAGTTATGTGTAAAAAATGGTTATTGAACTTCAAATTAGACTGAAAGACAACTCCCAAATCCTTTACCTCTTATTTACGATTTAATGTGACATCACAGGTCTTATTTCTAATGTAAAACATTAAGAGGCTATGGATCCTTACAACTTAAAATATGCATACGTTTGTAAGTGTTAAATAGACGGATAAAAAGTGTTGATTTTTATTTACAATTATAATAAGAACCCATTAAAAAGATTAAGAGCAATAAAACATTTCAACAAATTTCTATATAGGTACACATATTTTTGATACCTGATAATTAATAAATAATATATTTTTTGGAGTAGCAACAGGTTTATTAATACACAACTATTATTTTGTTACAAATACTTATAATTAACATAATAGTTGATATAAGTCCTTTAAAAATAATATATTTTGATTTAATTTTGTTGCATTTATACATGAGTAATTTTCCTTGTAGCGTTGTTTACATTTTGCAGAGAAAAATTGTATTCTGCTTTTAGCTGATAAATCATGTACATGTAAATGGGATGAATGTAGACAATGTTAATGTTTTTGCTACTAATGCTGGCTAGGAATGCTGGGCTGGGACACCAACAAAAAAAAGGAAGCACAAAGCACTAGATGTTTTTATCACTTATACACGTAAAATTTACAACCGTTCAAGTAACTAGTATGTTGGAAATACTTCACGAAAACATATTAAACATAAATCAGTCGAAGGCAATGTATTTTCTTTTTATAACACACCTTTTTAACTTGATTACTTTTAGTACTCTATTTATTCCAATGTCCTCAAATAAAACGAGCAATAATAAGGATAAAACACACACTGAATTATATTTGGGGTACTTTTGGTCTAAATCCACTATCATAACAAATTTTCCGTTTTTAAGCTGTGAATGTATTACAAAAACTACTTCGATAAAATGTAAACAAAAGTTTATATTTGTGTACGAAATATGGGTTGCCTGCGCATGGTAGCGAGTTTTTAACCGGATTTATGACAAGTGATAGGTTATATCCCGAAAACGTCAGCGCAGTAAAAGCTGCGCGTCTTTTTCCCGCCAAGGGAGTGTCATGGGCCTGGTAATAATATGTAAAAATAATGTGATTTTGCATTGTAATCTGTTTTGCTGTTATATTTTTAAAAATTAACATGACTTTAAAACCATAATAAAAAAAAATAATAGTACATAAGTAGGTACAGCACTTTATTTATAAATTCCAAAGTTTTTCTTATTAAGAGATATAGAAGATGTTGGTACAGTGTTTTGTTGTTAATTATTGTTCACATTTCATAATTAATTTATAATCAGTACAGCATAAAATGTTATGCCATGACACAGTCTCTAATATGTGGTAATATCCCATTAGAAAATCAAAAACGTTAACACAAAGTTTTATTTGAAATTTATTTTAGAAATTAGTCACTAATTTCAGACATAGAACCATTGTCAAAACATATAATATTTATAAAAATTGTTATTACTAGGTATATAGGCCAAGTAGGTAAAGTAAAAAAGTACTTTTCACATTTATATAAATATGTGTATCTTTTAAAATATGTCAAGTAAATTTAGAAATGGTTTCTTCTATACAAAAAATTAAAAATTCTCTGAAAATTATTTAATTGTCCTTGGAATAGTAAGATATTCACAGAGCGTTACAGTTATAGTCAATTGTTGATCGTCAAGTTGAGTTCATATGGTATCGATGGTAAACTTTTAAATTGGCTATGTAGTTTTTAATTGGTAGGTATCAGTGGGTCAAAATTGGGAATCACATTTCTTATTTGATTGAAGTATTGTGCTGGTGTTCCTCAAGGAT